CTTTTTACTAACATGTGTATCGGGGTATGTCAGAGTGTAGCATGGAAGGGTGAAATAACTGGCAATGGCAAGGGAGCTCAAAGTTGACTCGCTAGCTGCTGTTTTGTACTCGTAGCTTGGTTTTTCGAATTTTTCGTTGATTTGCTTGGCAAGTTGATTGGTTGGGGGATGATAAGTCAAATGAAACAACAAAACAGCAAAACAAATAATAATTTAAAAGGTTTTGTTGACGTTGGCAATTGTTGACTTTTCGCCAGATTTGCAATGAGCCGTTCAAAAAGAGAAGAGAGGGGCAACCATGGAGTGTTGGAGTAACAAAACATTGTTTGGCATTTGCGGTGGCAGAAGGCGGGCGAACAAAATGTTGAAGTTCATTATTATTATTTGCGGTGAATTAGCGGAGTGATTTCGTTGCAGGTCTAACACTCAGCCACTCAGCAAAGGCACAGAACACAAAGACCACAAGCAACCGCACATGAATATTTAGTTCTAGTGCGCCACTGCCACTGTTTCCACAATGAGACAGTCAGCCAGCCCTGCGCTTGATTCGATACGGAAAGGATTAAAATTAAGTAAATTGGATGAGAATTATATTGTGCTATCGTAGAATAGGTGGGAGAGAGTAGAGCTGGCGAAGGATTTCGGGAAGTTAACAAATGTTATTTTTAAGCGAAAGTTTACTTATTAGCTGGAATTTACTTTGAGAGTTCTTAAGTCAATAATACGTGGCCACAAAGCAACATACCTAGAGGATGAAGATGGATGGAGGTAAGCGTGCGTCAAATGTGTATCTATGCATGTACATACTTATGTAGCAATAACTGCACTTGCCACAAAATACTTTGCCTTTTTTCGTAATACATATCTAACTTGTGGTCACGGCACTACATTGATGCACTTCGTTCTGAACTGTCTTAGATGAGCAAGTGTGATAGGCACGTTGCACGTACTCAAACGCTGTTATGTAGACGTTAGAGATATATGCCGCCGAGCCACGCCGCCGCCGCCGAGTTACGAAATTATCGGGGTGGCGGCGGCGGAGTTCGGCGCCTAAGGAATTTCGTACAAAATTTTCATGATGTATGCACATTGAAATACATCGTTTGAAGGAACTAAATACTACTCGCATAAAAGCACTATTTTACGAAATCAATATAATATTTTTAAAGGAGTTTTTTTGCATCATTTGGGCCGCGGAACATTTCCAAAAAAAAAGCGTAACTCTAAAAAAAAGAGCGGTAACACGTTTTTCGATCGAAAGCGTTTATTACAGCTAAATTAGGGTCAAATACTGGTAATCTGACGATTTTTTTTCCGCAGTAGGCAATTTTTTTTCAATACTAAAACAATACTGCTGCTACATATATATATACTACAACAAGAAGAAAGTTATAACACATCAAAAACTTTAACGCCAATATATCAGAAAGCAGTTTTATCTGAAGCGCCCTTATTGCATCTAACTCCTCAATTATTGGTGATAAAACAAAGACAAGTTGATTTTCCTGTGGATTTTTTTTTTAAATATTTTAAACACACATTTTTGATAAAAAGAAAACACTTTTTTTGATAATTTTTACTTTTGAAATTTATTTTATTCTGGGGTCCCGCAGACGTATTCAAGTACTAGGTGACTGTGTAAAAATTACGTTAGGTTTCCTAAGTGATGGTCAAATCCCAGGAAGGTTTTGCTCCCGGGCATCGCAATGTCTTCTACACTGGGTTAGAGTCCGCCTTTTTGGTAAAAATTACTATTATTTTTCATTACATTCGGTTCTCCTTAGACAAATTTGGCGCTTAATATTTTAGTGGAAACTTTAGCCATAGTAATAACTCCGTAATTTAACATAACGGTTGATAAGATTATTGCAAAAATTTATTGATAGCGACATAAATTACCCCAATAACTTAACTTTTTAAATTTGTTTATTTCTTTAAATTTAAAAAGTACATACGGATTTGTAGAGAACATAGAGATGTATGTATATAACTCAGACTTTCTTCTGTTCGCCAATACATCAGCGGCAGCTACTCAACATTTTAATTCAAGTAGAAAGTAACGTAATTTAAATTTATTACTAATTCAATGAATGAATTAAATACAATTACAATCTGAATTGGCATGGCGAATGCCTACCGCTGACGAGATGACATGATAAGATTAGTAGCCTCATGGCTCTTTGGAATCTACCTTATGGGCAGTAGCGACGGCGTCGCCGCCGCCGCCGATTCTTTTTGAAGTTGACCATGCCGCCGCCGCAAAGCCTGTCGGCGTAAGCCTCTAGTAGACGCTACAAACTCGCCTTATTTTACAATTGATTGTTTTTACATACATAGGCATTGTAATAGATAAACCAGCTACTCAAATCGGCCGACGCAGACGATACTTTTGTCGCGAAAACTGAGTTTATCATTGTAGGCATTTTAGCCGCATAAGAACTGAAAAATTTTAATTACTAAGACGTGTTTGCTAGCGTAAGATTCCAAATTAGCAGCGTAAGCTGTGATGGCAAAACACTAACTCAAATTTTATCAAACTATCACAACTGAGAACATGACATTAATGAACGCGAATAATGTGTTTACTTTTTGATGGGAATTAATATCTGTGTTTTCAATTATAATACTCGTAATGATAAATCCATTTTTTTTTTAATTTTTGATATTGCTAGATTTTTACGACAGCGTGCGAAGATAATTCATTTTGGTCAAATAAATGTTGGTAATATGGATCGAAATTTTCAAAATTAACCCGGCGTACAGGGCCGCTTAAGTGGCCAAAAATGGAAAAAATTCGTTGTCTGCAATGTGAACGTGTTTGGTATTTTTGCAAAGGTAATTTATGCTTTAAAAATAATTAAATAAAAATTAAAAAAAATGGTAATTTTTTAATGGAATGAATAAAAAATATATGAAAAAATATATATTTTTTTATTTTATTCAATAGCGAGGTTTTTTAACATTCGAAAGAGAAAATAAAAACCTGCTAATTTTTGGCACTTTTCGAAGTAATGCGTTTTTTGCTAATGCGTAAAATCTTTTTTCCATTTTTCGGTTTTCAAAAATGAGGTGCTACATTAAAAAATTTGACTTGCAGATGTACAATAGAGGTTTATTTTTTTAAATAGTTGCCACCTGTAAAAATTATTTAATAAGTTAAATGAACTATAAAAAGATGGTATAAAACGGAAAGGCTATTAAAAGGGCTTATTTCTTAATTACATGTAGGGGGGTTGCCACCTATTTAAAAAATTGAAGTACATTTGAATTAAAATATTTTAAAGAGGGTTGCCACCTGTTTTGAAAGTCAAATCAAATTAAAATACAATGTTATTTATGTTAAACGAAAGGTTTATGACATAGTATTAGTTATTTTATTCCAATGAGTGATATTTTTTAATTTCATTCCTTTTATATATATTACTGGACCCTTAAATGCACATAAGGCTAGTAATTCTTTCTTTACTAAGTTTGCTCTTAATAAAAAATTTTTTCTGTTGGCCGACGACCATATTTTTATACATATTTCAGTTATCTAAGTACCTTAAATAAATTGAATTTGATTTTTTTATCAGGCGGCAACCTTTCTACGTGTAAGTTAGAAGTAAAGTTTTTTTAATACCATTTGGATGGATGCTCATATTATAATTTTTAATTATTTTAACTTATAAAATAATTGAAAGAAAGACGGCAACTTAAGAAAAAAATAAAACATTATTGCACATCTGCAGGGCCAGCCCTGTATTTTGACTTCTCACTTTTGAAAATAGAATGAACCAAAATTGCATACCTATGTAAATGCTACAACAACCCAAATAAAATAAAAACTATATACATATGTATAATAGATCAGGGGTTCCCAAACCTTTAAAATAATGGAGACCCTTACTAAATACTTTTAAGTTTATGAAATACCGCGTCAAATTACTAATGGTGATTTTTCCAAGAAATGTTGCCCTTCCACGGTGCGAAATTTGTTTGATGTTATACTCAACCCTATAAAAGCCCTGCAGAAAATGATTAAAATAACCAATTTCTAGTTACCTTTTTTGAGGGAGTTCGATAAATAACTAACGTTTAATTAACTATGACAAAACTAACTTCAAGTTAGTTGCAAATCGTGCAGAAGTCATATAGACGTTATCGGGAGCTTGTTATTTTCTTTACAAGTTTCTTTTTAAATACCTCAATCAAAAATTACTTTCAATACACTTTTTTTTTTGAAATTCGCAGATTGTTTTTCATATTCAGGACAAATAAAAGGAACATCGAAATTTTATATTATCATTTTGAAGTTATGAAGTTGTTATCTCCCCTGACAAAGCTTCTCAGGGCGGATAATGTGCCTTTTTTGCCTTACAAGAGTGTGACATTTTAAGAAACAAACACAAAATTTTCTCACTCTTTGCCTTTAATTTAGAATTGAACACGAAAAAAACAAAGGGGCAATCAAAAGGCGAAATTTTTTGTTAGAAACGAAATCACAATAAAAATCAAAGTCATTGCATTTTAAATATGAATAAAAGCTTTTACTATAAATAGTACACATACTTTAAATTTTAATGAAGAATTAAATTGTTTCACTGTGGTTAAATATTGCTTTATAGTTCGATATTATGTCTGAAAGCTGTTTGCGCATCGTCTAAATTTATCGAAAGCCAATTTACTACAGAACAGAAATATGTAAAAGAATTGTGCCAAAATCACGCAAAGTACAAAAGAACATACAAAATCCAATAAATGAACAACAGAAACAGAGATAACAAAAAATGTTACCCACCAGCATTGTGCACATACACATGTACATTAAGGTGGTTCAAATTACTTACAAATAAAATATTTTAGTTATTGGTTTCTTCTTCTTCTTATTTGGCGCTGTAACCGCCTAAGCGATTTTGG